TCTATCTATCTATCTATCTATCTATCTATCTATCTATCTATCTATCTATCTATCTATCTATCTATCTATCTATCTATCTATCTATCTATCTATCTAATTCTAAGTATCAGTATCTAATTAATTATTTGTAATTAGGTTTAAAACAAATAGTAATCCAAAACACCATGAGATAGAGATTCAGATATTTTAACCAGGGTTTCTATTTTAGGAAACAATAATTAGGCAGATTTTTTTTTGGGATGAAAAAAAAAGGATATTTGTTAATTAGAAGGTAGAGCCACCATGTCATAGACTTTTGCACTCTGTCGTCTGTTCAACATATGAATAAAGTAAGCTAGGATTTGTGTCACTTTAAGCATCTTGAGATCTAAAGTTCAACAATAGTCTGTAAAGCAATAGGGTGTAAAACACATTTCAAGAGGAAGAATAAAGAGCAGCTGTTGTCTACAGAGAGGCAAGACAAGGCCAAGGTCGCAGCTGTGAAGTCCCTTTATTATCACTCACCACTGTTCTCAATTAGATCTACACCCTTAGTCTAACCCTGGTCACTCTGCATTCTTTACTTTTCTTTACCAACAATAGATGTGTTCAGATGCAATCCAACCCAAGTTCATGTTTCATGAAAAAAGGGAATCAAAGGGCTGTAAGTTTTGTACCAAATTAATATTAACAAAATTATAACTCCTCTATTTTACTAAAGTGCATCTGTAATATGATTCTTCATTTAGCTTCTGTTATCTTTCTGCAGTTCAAGCAAGCATATGAATGGTTCACTGCAACTTTTATGTGTTGTGTTTGTGGGGTCTTCACTCAGCAATATGAGTAGTATAATTGTGTTGCTATGCTAAAATTTGCAGTAAGTCATATTTAATTGATCAAGGTGCATGAGCTCCCTAATAGTGTGTCACATGTAATACATGTGTGTATGTTCTATGTTACTGTAACTCGTCATCAGCTGTTTCTGAACGGAGAAGAAAAATCTTGGTCCGTTCAGCAGATCAATAGCACAATAGTATATAAAATGGGTTTTTGTTGTACTTGCATGTACATCTCTTGGGTCTTACAAATAATGTTGCCTTCCCCTTTCCTCTACACAGTTTTAATAACTAGACAATATGATTTCTGGTGGAAGAGCAGTGGGAGTTTTCCTGATGCTGGACTTTGTTGGTTGGTTATTGTTGTTATATTATTATTATTGTTATTATAAAATTATTCATATTGTGTTTCAACTCTGTCTCTATGATAAAGCAACGGAGATATAAGGAAATATTGTATTGATTGATTCATTTTGCAAAACGTTTTAGCCCAACATAAATTAAGAGTTCTACATGTAAAGTTTTCTTAATTTTAGAGGTCATAACTCTTCTCACAAGAATGCAAATTATTTTTGTCTTTCTCCAGATGAAGCAAACCTTTTATTTCATTTAGTTTTCTATTAAATAAATGACTTTTTGCCACTAGAACAAAAGACGAGAGGGCACAAATGACCCCTGACTATGTAGCTATATACTTCAACCTGCTATCAGATGTGACATGCAGCTAGTGCGCTTGGCTGGCTTCTGTTGAAATGGAATTGTTTTCTTCCCTTTATCCTTGAGCACAAAGATAACTTGTGAAATTCCTGTTGGCTGCCTTTGAGGGCTTGGTGGTTCAGAGTATAGCTTGGGGACAGCTTGTGACGCAGGTAGTTGAGATTGGTTTGTATTTTTTCTTTGACCAGCAGCAACAGGTGATAACCTCAAGGGAACATAACAATATGCTAGCGTATTGTGGGATAATATATCATTTATATAAAGCAATATACTATAATTAATCTACGTTCAGTGCAAAATGCATGAACAAATAAACCTGTATGTGTTACAAATGAAACCTCTAAAACAAGACAAGGAGGGCAAATCAGCTTTCAAAGTTTCTCATAAGTTTCTTTTCTTTGTTTGTTTGCTGGTTTTTTTTTTTTGTTTGTTTGATGAAGGTCTGATGAAGGTCTGGCACAAATTAAATCCTTCTAGAACCTCAATTATGTGACTTTCTATCAGATCCCATTTCCTTCTCCTTTACTTATCCTCTGTCTATTCCAGGCTCTAGGAGAGTACTCTTCCAGCCATTTAAGGTCTCATTCCCAGCTGTCCACGGTCTTTGTGTCTTTGACTTTTATGATCACATGAGCACACAAAAGAAGGTGTGAGGCACCTTGCCTCACTTAAGTTTGAAACTAGAGCCAGCAAAGCTATTGGCAGAATTTGTCCTATGTTACTGTGAAAGGTCACTTCTAAGTGGTGTTGAATTTTAGCAGAGGCTTACAGGAGTTGATTGTTCTCCTCCCTTGTCCTCTTCTTACTCATTCAGACTATGGACCTCTCTATAGGATCAAGTCCAGAGTACTGCTTGTCTTCAGATGAGGTAGTGACCAAGAGATCCTCTGATGAAATATTGAAAAGGTAATGTTGGCCATTTAAAGATTTTATTATCAACTTTTTGTTTTACTTTATGCAGAACTTCTCATTCCTGATTGCGGAAATGGCAAAAATAGAAAACATTTCTTTTAGACCTAATATGCTCCTATTGTTAATGTACTATTTCCTGTTGGAGGACACACCAAGACCAGATTATCTGCTGCCAGTCTGTCAAGTCTGCTTGTATCCTGTGCTCTAAATGGCCCTCCCCAGTCTGGCTCCAAAAGGAGAGTGCTTGTTAAAAGAAAGAATGGGCGCCACTACTGATGTGAAGGTTAGTAGTTTTCACTTTTATAGTTTAGTTTTTCAGTATGTTAGCCTGTAGTCATATCAAAATGGAAAGAAATAGTCAGAAATAAATGTTGTGTCTCTGGATGATGTCCAATTTTCTCTACTCGAAAGAAGTAGTGAGAAGATGGCTCATATTTATGCAAAAAGAGTCTGTGAGCTTGTTTTGTTAATTATCTATTGTGGGTGCATGTGGAGTAGAAATGTCTCACTGTAGTTCACTTATCAAGCACTGTGTCATTTACAGTTCTGTACATAAGCATATTGTTCTTAGGAGCTTCCTAGAGTAATAATAATAATAATAATAGTTCAAGACTACATTCATAAAATTCTTCTGCATTTTCTAGTTGGTAGTGTCATTTAAGTAAGTGTTATACCAAAAAAAATGGATTTATTGTCTTATTTGAATCAATCAACCTGAATTCTGCAGTCCTCTCTTCACATGTCACTAATTATTCTTTTAAAGTCTTCTTCAATACCATTGTCACCTATTTTAATCTCATTTAAATCCAGAACACCCAAAACACATTTAAAATAAATGTTAGATGTCATGCTACAGGGAAATATAAAACATATAAAATGCCTGAAAATCCAAAGAAAATGACAAAGCAAACTCTTCTTATCATGTAACATGTAGAGTAAGTTTCATTACTTTCACGTGACTTTTTCCAACTGCCTTCTTTATCAAACTATAAGAAATGGATCTGTGAGTGCCATCTGGTGGTCATTTGATGTTTGACTGACTTCTGATGAATGAGGTATAAAAGCTGCCTACTAATAATACCGTTGTCTACTTTACAAAATAAAGCGCCTTGAGGCGACTGTTGTTGTGATTTGGCACTATATAAATAAAATCGAATTGAATTAATAATAGTCCCAATGGGAACGACTTTGTCATTTATAAGCTACACATAGTTTTCTGCAACACATTTTTATTTCTAAAAGCTCAAAGAAATTGATTTAGTGACCATGGTTTCGAATTTTGTATTCTCTACTATATTGAATACCAAAATGCTTTTTTTATTGTAATGTATTAGTTTTTGTGATTTTGTCTGAAATCACAGTAAGTACAACTGACAACTTGTTCCCTCCTTTTATTGGAAAGAAGTGTGAGAGGGAAAACTACATATTACTATATCTATGGGGAAATTCAGTCAAATTACCGATACATTCCTTATAATGCAATTCTTTAATACCAGTAATAGACATTTAAAACATAACACTTTCACTTTATCTTTGTTGCTATCCTTTTAATTAATTTTTATCTTATTTTTCTACTAGTTTGGTTCAAATTTTATATTTATTTGTTTTGTAAAATCAAGTTTGGTTTATAGTATAAACAGCAAACACTTTTATCAATGAAACTCACAACACTGTTTGAGATGCTCATTAACTTTATTCTACTAAACAAAAACACATGCATAGGGAGACTTCGTTGCAGGACCAAGAGGTGTCTCAGAAATGATCATTTCAAGGTGAACTTCATTCTTCATCAAGTCCTTTCTGAAACAAGAAATAGGGGAAAAAGAGGATCATTAGTGATCATTTTTTGATTTGAAAAGAAGAGCTGGATTGTAAATGAAGTGAAAACAGTCAATGCTCACTCTACAGTGATTCTGCAGTAAGACTACAATGCATGCTTTCGCTTTTATTTTTGTCAATGATCCTTGAGATAAAAAGCTAGAATTTGTGTTGGTGATCTGTCAGCAGGATGCTAAGAGTCCTGCTATTCCGGACTAACGCTTTTTTAAACATGTATACATACAAACCTTTGATCCCACATCACGGCTTTTGGCGCGTAGCTTGTTGACCTGAGACTCGGCAATGTCAGCTCGCTCCTCAGCTTCATCGAGCTCATGTTGAAGTTTGCGGAACTTGGTAAGATTACTGTTGGCCTGTTCCTCCTGTAGAATAGAAACACAATATTGTTTGTAAAGAAAATATTCAGTCAGTGGTCAGATGTAAGGGCGGTATTTAAAATCTGTATAACTTACAGCTTCCTCTGCAGCCTTCTTGTAGGACTTGACCTTTAGCTGCAGCTTGTCCACCAAATCTTGAAGACGTGCTAGATTTTTGCGATCTTCTTCGGTCTAATTAGTACAAATTTTTGCATAGTTTTGTTTCTGAGTATAATTTCCATCAGACAAGCTAACTGGTTCAGAATTAAAGTTACCTGATAAGTAAGCTCCTTGATACGCCTTTCATACTTTCTTATTCCCTTCACAGCATCGCTGGCCTTTTTCTGCTCATTTTCCACCTCATTTTCAAGTTCCTTGACCTATAAAATTCAGATCCCACAACAAAATTCAGATAACATCACTTAAATTTAGACCAGCTATTTATTTGATATATAGATGCTGTAGTCAAAGAGATTATAGGGAGAGACTGAAGTTTTATACCCACCCTGGCCTCGAGCTTCTGAATCTGCTTCTTGCCTCCCTTCATGGCGATCTGCTCAGCTTCATCCAGGCGGTGCTGCAGGTCTTTGATGGTTTGCTCCATGTTCTTCTTCATTCGCTCCAGATGAGCGCTGGTGTCCTGCTCTTTCTTCAGCTCCTCTGCCATCATGGCAGCATCAGTGATGGCCTTCTTGGCCTTCTCCTCTGCATTCCTGCACTCCTGCACTGCCTCCTCCACTTCAGTTTGAAGCTGGGATGTATCAGCTTCTAACTTCTTCTTCTGATTTATCAAACTTGTGTTCTGTTTTGAAAAAAATACACATTTATCAGTGTGACAATTGCTTACACAATTAAGCAGAAATGTGTCGCAAAGACAACCTTTGTATCTTACCTGTGAGTGCAGTAGCTGCACTCTCTCACTGACATCCAGCAGCTCTTGCTCTGCAAGTTTGCGGCTTCTCTCCGTTTGATCCAGAGCTGCTCTCAGCTCCTCCACTTCAGCCTGAAGAAGGTTGTTGCGTCGCTCAACAATGGCAATGTTCTCTTTAAGGTCATCATTGGCCCGAACAGAGTCGTCCAGCTGAAGTTGAGTATCCTTGAAGATAAAAACCCCCCAAAATTTTAACTGATGTTTCACTTTGGTTTTGATTTTTGTTTCAAAGAAGTAGAACTGCTTGTTTATTCAGACCTTCAGATGGGCATGGACGGCCTTAAGTTGTTTCTGGGCCTCAGCTGCCTGCCTGTTAGCCTGGCTTAGCTGGATCTCCATCTCATTGAGGTCTCCCTCCATCTTCTTTTTCAGACGCAGAGCCTCGTTCCTGCTGCGTGTCTCAGCCTCCAGAGAGCTTTGAAGAGTATCCACAGTTCTCTGGTGGTTTCTTTTCGATTGCTCCATTTCTTCATCTTTCTCAGCTAGCTTGCGCTCAATGTCAGCCTTTACTTGGTTAAACTCAAGTTGGGCTCTGAGAATCTTCCCTTCCTCATGCTCCAGTGTGGCCTGTCACAAATAGAAATTAGACACAATGACTACATAACTTGTAATTAATTAATACTCACAACCTAAAATCTTTCAAATTTGAAAAAGGCCACTATGCAGCAGCTTACCTCTGCTTCCTCCAGAGCTGTCTGTATCTCAGACTTCTCTTGTTCCAACTGCTTTCGAATCTTCTCAAGCTCATGAATATTCTTTCCACC